CAGGTATTTATCAACTTTCTATCTCTCTATTTAGGAATCATTAGGCTTAGGTTTGTGAATAAAAAATGTAGTACTCATAGCCTTTAAACTGTACATATGCATAGATTTCATTTAAGTTAAGTGTGCTAAGAGAATTTGATTGATGAACTTCCTGAAAAAGTTAGGTTAGAAATTAGGGCCAGAGAAATTCTCTCTGGTCTTTGAGAGTTAGATTAAGTTCTTTATATGGTTGGAATCGTCTTGAAAAATGCTATGACTTTGGTGTTATGAGTTTTTGCTTTAGAGCACGAATGCAGGATTTCCAGATTTTGTACACAGGCGCACGTTTTTTGTTCAAAGGTTGAAGATGAAGCTGTAACTGGGCTGGGCTTGGCTTGGCATGACTTTTTGCACCCCCTGACTTGCTGATTGTACCCCCCTGACCCATTTCATTATATTTTTATATTTTTCTATTTATTTTTCATTTCTGATTTTATTTTATATTTTCTAAACATAAAAAAATATCAAAAACATTTTCATAAATTTTCACATTTTATTTTATTATTTTTTATTATTTTTTAGACATAAAAATAGTTATTAAATAGTATATACTTTTATTTTCACAAATAAAAAACTTAAAAATAACACATAAAAATATTATATTCTTATTTTTGTTTTTTTTTAATATTTATATACTTAAATAATATTTTCTCATACATTATTATTTTCTAAACAATTGTATATATTTTTATTTATATTTATTTTCTTGTATATAAATAAATAATATAATATATATTGTCTTAAAACAAAAAAAAACTAGGGTTTCCACCCTTATTAAAAATAATATTTTTTCTAATATATTTTATTTTTTTTACACTTGAATATATTTTTTTATTTTATTTATTTTATTGTACATAAATAAATAAATATTATAATTTTCATACATATTCTTAAACCATAAATTAGGGTTTTTTTGACCCTTCACAAAAATAACTCTTTTTTTTAATACATTAAATATTTTATTTTTTACATATATAAAAATAAACAAAAAAACATTTTTTACATATTTATAATTTTGCATATTTATATTTAAATTGCTTATTTAAATATTGTTTATTTATTATTTGATGCAAAGAGTTCAATTTGGATGTAATAGTAAATATTAGGGTTTTATTTTCTTGCAAATACTCCCCATTCAAAATTGTATCCCCTCCCCATATCAATGTTGTAATAGTCGTAGATTTATTTTACGCATTTATAGCTTTCAAATATGCCATGATAAAGATTATGGTTTGTATGCAATATCCAAAATCAAAGCAAATAGTTAGACCTAATACAAGACATAAAAGCATGTAAATTGACAACACAATACACACATGCACCCCTAGGGTTTCATCCACTTGTTGCCTTTAAAATGGCCATGGTATGCATGTTGAGTATCTTGGCAAAACAAAAACAAAATAAAAGATCATAGTCCCTCGATGACGCTATCTTGGTTGCCTATACAAAAATGATCTAGTCCCTCAAAAATTTGCTAAAGATACTTAGCACAATTGCTATCATGGTCAATACAATGACCCACACCTGTCCCGTTTAACATCCAAATACAAGGTTGTTTACCAAATGCAATGGTAAAACAACACTGTCAAAAGGGTTAAAAATGTGTAGGAAAGACTCTTGAGTAGATAGGGTAAACAACTCTTAGTTACTTGATCAAAACTTGCAAAAACATCCTTGCTATTTTCAAACACACCTCACAACACAATTTCAAAACATTTCCCAAAACAAACTTTCAAACATTGAAATATCTTTTCAAAAGACAAACACCTTTGTATATATTCAAACAAGAATCATTACAAAGGTTGCCACAACGATGGCCTCTTTTCAAAATGTTTTCAAAATCACACACAAAGCACCATTTCAAACAATTGAAAAGCAAAAGAAAGTGATCTAAACAAGTAACTAAGAGCCCATGGATAACCATGGATGAAAAGGGTGCTTGTACCTTCCCTTTTCATAATCTACCCCCCGAACCCAAGAAAACATCTCAAAGGTCTTTCCTGTGCTTTTTGACCTTTCCTTTGGATAAAATAAAAAGTCGGTGGCGACTCTTGCTAAACCGAAACATTTACGAACACAAACGCAAAACCTCAAGTCAGTTCTCCCACCGTATCACACTTATATTTATACAAACAACTATATGGTCAAATATAATATATCATGTTGTACCACAAGAGTGATGTAGTCATTAAGTACCTGATTAACAAAAGATTCATTTGTATCAAGCTTCTGAACTGATGCTTGGCTATAGTTTGGTTGAACTTTAACTCTGAATGCCATTTTATTTTTTAATAGAGCATCAAGTCCATCAGGATACACCATGGAATCGTCTTCACCATCCTAATAGAAACAAGCATGTAAATTGTAAATTGAGTAATAGGTCCATTTATAAATTAATATACAAATTTCATTGAAACATATAAAGATTACTACCTTTAACATTGATTTGCGCATATCATCAGTTGTTTTTCCTATGATAATTGAACAATCATTATCCCATAACACAAAATGATACTTTGCATTGCTATCTATAACATGAATCTTAACCTTATACTTAGGGGAGACATTTGAAAATTTTAAATTATTATTAAATACAACAATTTCAAATGGAAAAAAAGAAAAAAAGAAAGTTGTATATGTTTAACCTGGGTATAAGCTGTTTAACATCTCCAACACAACCACATTTATAAGGATCAGAAGGAGAAGGAGATTTTAAGGGACAATTAGTGCAACCATAATAGAACCATCCATATTTAGAAACAACAAATTTCAATGTCGTTGCCACAATAACATACACAATCTCATAATAAATAAATAAATCAGTCACAAATTAGTAATTTTCATGGTAGTATTTACAATAAACACCTAAATATACTGTTAGTATTCTTACCAAACATACATTTTTTAGCTTGCAGAAGTCAATTAAGAACATGCATTTGACATTGTAAACAAATCTTTCAATTGATGTAAATTGTGTTCCACCAGTCCATGTAGACAACGTCTGAGAGGATTGTGTAGGCTTTGCCTTCTTTTCAGATTCAAGTATCCTAAAATTAAATTATGTCTTCAAATAAGAATGTCAAAAACAATTGAGCAACAAAACAATAAACAAAGCATAAGCGTATATAACAAATTTAGTGAATTAAAATAGTTGCCAAAAGTATTACTTTGACATAAAATTCTAAATAATCGGTATATGTCTTCGTTGATCAGCAACTTTGAATCGCTCCATCCGTTGGAAACTGCACAATATTTCAGTAAAAAATTGCATCAACGTTAAATATCAACACTGATTATGAAATTATAAGAAAAAAATAATCAGTGTACGTAATTTATTAAATGAAATAACCTTGGCAGTATTTTATCATTACATGAGTAAGAACGATGACAATGACTCCAATTTTTGTATCATCATTATAGTAACTTAAAAACTTGGATTCATAGTTGTCCCATAAACTGCAACCAATGGCACTACCCCTATATAGAAAAATTTGACAATTATTAAAGTATTATGTTATTTTGATCCAAATAAATATGAAGTGTTAAAGTAAACAACATTATTACCCTAGATCCCTCAGTCTTAAAGAAATAAAACAGATAAACTGTAACAAATATTATGTAATTCAGTGAACTTTACTAACTAAAATCATGTAAAAGAAATACCTTCAAGCTTCTCAACTTTACAATTTCCTTGGAGGATATCAGAAAAATCTTTGAGGAAAAACTTGTTAGGTGGTATATTGGTAAGTTCAATTGACCTGACAATTGTGCCACTTAAAAAAACAATTTTCTTCTGATGATTGCAAAACTTCCATTGAAAGTCATTATCATACACATTATCATTATTTATGAGGCATGTCATATCTTCCTTTAACAACTATTTCCACTTTGGGAAGTGGTCGTGTCGAATCAAAACTTGAATTCGATCACTCTGCAATGCAGATAATATATAAAACAAATATTATAATATGTAAATTGATAAAATCAAAGTTCAATTGTAATGCTCATTTAAGGTATCAAACCTTAGAATCCATCACGACCATTTTAAGGTGTTTTATACTCTTGCTATTGACAACAATCCATATATCTTTTATACGAACAACAAGACACCATGTCTCATTCGAATCATTAATATCAACAACATTGTAAATTTTGCGGGACATGATTTCCTGTTCCAAGTAATTGATTAATTATAGGAGTATGCAAAATTGTTGTATATTAAAGAAAAAATTGCTATAAGATGTAGAAGATTTGAAAGGAAATTGATCAAAAACAAATTAAACTGAAACTGATATAAGATGACATAAATAATGTAGAAGGAAAAGAACGTCGACAACACTTTTTAATGAACGGAAAAAAATTTCATCAGACGAAAACAATAAATCAAAACGAAAAACTCAACAACATTATATACAACTCAACGAAGCATAACCAAAACAACATAAACACCACAAAATAAAATGAAAAAGGAAAGAGAAATGGAAAAGAGGAATTGAATCAAGCATGTAAGAATGAAACTTACTTCTTTTTTGGAATTGTTTCGTTCGACTTCTGTGGTCGTGATAAGGTTTAGGATTAAACATACTGATTATTTATCAGAGAGTGCTTAAAATACGTACGAGTTTGATAATAATAATAGAAACAACAATTTAGATGCATTGGTATTGACCGAAAAGGTGAAACTTGATTTCAAAACATTGAACAATACAAGAAATCTTTAGAATATTAATTAGGATTGGATTAATTGAATAATGACATTATTATCCCTCAATGAAGGCGTGTAACTAATTTTTGTAAGAATGGTGGTAATTAAAATTTATATATTGATAATAAATTTATAGGAACTTATTTTGAAGCAGAGTTTCTCCTTAAACCCCGAACCCTATTGGGGCAACAGAAGCGCAATGCTAACTATGTAGTAACTCGCAGAGCTTTATCTAAATTCTTCGGTGTTGATTACCATGGCGGTTCCTGGCTTCAAATTCGTTCGCCAATCAACTCTTCATCTTCGTTCTACTCCATTCCAATACCTTCGTAAGGTGCCTATCGTCTCACAATTTTCATGTTCACTTCCAATCTCCTTTACCTCTTCCCATATTCTATCATTACTTTCATTCAAGGTTGTGCCCAAATCCGTCGTTGCGGTGGAGGCAGCAGCGACATCCACAAACGAAAATGGAGGTGGCTCAGTTCATGAAGAAGGCAAGTGAAGCACTCGAATCAATTGTTAGTAGTGAAATTGTGGTTTTTTAATTTTTAATTTTTTGAAATTTTGAGTTTGGTAGTTATGGAGTTGTTTAATTGGTGAAGGAATTAAGAAATCCCCTGAATGGAAAAGGATAGGTTCGAAAGAGCTTGGAATTCATAATTCATCGATTGATGTCACTACTAAGAAGGTTCTTAATGGGCTCAAGAAAAGAGGTACGTAGTTCTATTATTTTTCATGTGTCTTTCTTAACCATGGATTTTTATATATATGGAAGATGAAAGGTAGAGCATGGTTAAAAAATTTTGATTATACTCTTACCCTATATAGTAGAGAAGATGGTGGAAAATAGACTTAAGTGGTTTAGGTATATAGAGAGAAGACCTATAAATTCTATGGTAAGAAGAGTAGATCAGATGGAGAGATGTCAAACAATTAGAGGAAGAGGTAGACCTAGAAAGACTATAAGAGAAGTTATTAAGATCTTGAGATTAACAATTTGTATAAAAGCATGGTTCTGAATAGAACATTATGGTAAAAGTTGATCCTTGTAGCTTATCCCAGTTAGTGATAAAACTTGGTTGTTGTTGTTGTTGTTGTACACTTACATTATATATGGGTGAGTTCACAAAGCAATAGAACTGAATTCATTAATCAAAGTAATTATGTTTCCATTCAGTGTAACAATTCCCCCCTTATTGTAGCAACTTGGTTCCATACTTCTATTAATTAGATTTTAGGCTAGTAGTATTTCAAAAATTTTCATTTTTGAATTGCATTATCATTTGGTTTAAGAGAATAGATAGTAGAATAATAGGCCATGTAACTGGTCTTATATGTTCATAGATGACACATTAGGTTCCAAGGTTTCTAGGTTTTTATAAGCAAAAGTGCTAAGTGATATTCAGCTGCCTAGTAATAGAGGTTTGCTTTGCTTGCAACCTTGCATTAAGAATGTAAGATGTATTTGATTATGTTTGATCCCCCATGCATTATTATGTTTACAATGCCATGTTATCATGTCATTTACGTGTTTCATTTTCCCCCTTATTTATATATAGTACTTTTTAATGAATAGTTATGTTTTGCTGCTTTTGGTTGATTCTTTGTTGTGCATCCTTTTAAAATGTCAATAAATGGTTTTCTTCTCGTCGAAGGATATGATGTATACCTAGTAGGAGGTTGTGTACGTGATCTTGTTCTAAAGAAAACACCAAAGGACTTTGATATTATAACTTCAGCTGAGCTAAAAGAGGTAACTTACTTTTACTTTTAAAATCATTCATGAACTTGCAGCTGGAAACAGCCTCTCTGTTATAAAAAACAGGGGTAAGGCTGCGTACATCCGACTCCCCCAGAACCCAGCCTCGTGCACTGGGTTACCCCTACCCCATTCATGAACTTGCAGTTTTCACTTTGCTGGACATCTCTATATATTGAGCTGAAGGGGCTATAATTGTCCTTACATTAGCATTTGGCTTTGCGTTAAGAGAGTGATACCATACCACATAAGTTTTCATGACGGACATTGACTCAATTTGCAGGTGATGAAAGTATTTTCCTGGTGTGAGATAGTTGGCAAACGCTTCCCTATATGTCATGTTCACATGGATGGTACCATTGTTGAGGTTGATACATTTTGGTTTATTTTTAAAGAATTTTAGCTTTGGTTTGAACTTTATATAGTGTAATGCTTGTCTGAATTTTTCTATTTAAGTCCCATTTTTCTTGTATTGCTGTTTATGCTGATTATTTGATCTCCCATCCAATTAGGTGTCAAGTTTTAACACTGCTAGACGCAAGAATGGTGTGGAATTTTCTCATCATACAGAAACACCTAATGGTTGTGATGAGGAGGACCTTCTTCGGTGGATGAACTGTTTAAACCGGGACTTCACAATTAATGGGTTGTGTACCTGTTCGTGCGATTTGGAAGTTTGAACCTTTTTTTTGGGGGGGTGTTGGCGGGTTTTCATGTGTTTGAAATTGTCTACTCCGCGACCTCTCTGAGTGATTAACACTTTATTTTGTATTTATGTCGTTAACCAACTTCACGCTCTTTGCAGGTTGATGCTTGACCCATATGCAAGAATTGTATATGATTACATGGGAGGAATAGAAGATATTTGAAAAGCTAAAGTGTGCATGTATTTCTTAACAACCATTTTTCTTATATTTCTTTTGCCAAGCTGAAGTTTTACTGATTTTTCTGTATGAATAGGTACGAACTATAAATCCTGCAGAAATTTCATTTCGGGAAGATTGTGGTGAGTTTCTATTAATCAACAGCCTCATCCTGATTTCCTATATTTTATGTACTGTAACTGTAACCCATTTTGGAATCACTCACACTTTTAATTAGCTTATTATGTTTGACTTCATTTTTCCTTTCTGCAGCTCGCATTCTACGTGCAATTAGAATTGCTGCTCGCTTAGGATTTAGTATTTCTAAGGAAACAGCTCATTTTATTAAAAACCTGTCTTGTTCAATATTAAGACTTGATAAGGTATTTAGTCTTATTCTTTGTTTTGTTATATGACACTATAATACCAATTTCCTGGCTGAATTATTTTTCTTCTATAATTTTTTCAGTCTAGGCTGCTGATGGAAATAAACTATATGCTAGCTTATGGTTCTGGTGAAGCTTCTTTAAGGCTATTATGGAAGTATGGACTGCTAGATATACTTCTCCCCTTCCAGGTAGATGTTCATTTTGTATTTAGTTTTTGAGTCAATCATGTAACGAAAGTTTACTTAGACTGAACATTACAGGCTGCCTATTTTGCTCATCATGGATTTCGAAGGAGGGACAAAAGAACCAATATGCTTTTGGTAAGTGTTAACTTAATACTTCTTCGGGTTTATCATGCAAAGTTTTCTGAATAAACATTCAAGAGATCATACTTCATAAATGTTGGAGCGGTGTAGCGGCTAGCAACAAAAATTTTAGAAATATTTATTCGGGAATTTATCGTATCTATAGAGATTGGTTATTGAATTGCCGTTCGACAAATGTCTCGTTAATAAGTTTGAGAATAAATGGATATGTAAAGAAAATGTTATCAATAGAAAATAAATGTAAATAAAAGTAAAAACTAAGTAAGAACTTATCAAACCTGCATATAATCTACTCATTACAAACTTAAATCTATCGATCAGTTACATTTAACCTAACAATACTCATCAATTTCCCTACGTATCACTCACAACCTAAGTCATTTCTAACCTAAATTGAGAGATCGACTGTATCACCAAAGAAATGATCTCTCTACCTACTCAACAACACAAAAGACAATTATGTAATTGCACTGACGATCTCTCAGCACAGCACAATAACAAAGAGACATCAAGCTCTGGTGCCCAAGTAGATATCAGCTCTAAATCTATCTATAGAGTTTAGAAACTAACAGATAATCATCATAGATAAGAATCTAAGTAATATATGCCTATAACAACTCAAATTCTTAGCATAGAGCAAAAATCTAAGACAACAATTCACAAAAATTTGTAAAGCAAGTTTAATATAACGCCATGGGCGACAAATATACATAAGTTCAGAGTAAATTCATGTACAAACTCAACACATAAAGAATACACGAAGAGGAAGAGAAATGAACCACAAATCTCCAAGTTTGTCAGCGCCGATTGATGAGCAATCCACCCCGGATCATCCGTATGCAAACTTCAATGTTGTTTTCTAAGCTAATCCTATCCAAAAATGAAGGTTGATGGAATTGGGATAAAAAATACCCAAAATCATACCAAAAAAATGTGTTTTTACACCTAAATACGCATTTCTGACTGTCCAGCATCGCCCGGCGACCAAAAAGCGTCACCCGACGACCAAAACAGTGTTTTTCCCACGCTACAGCTCGCCTAGCATCGCCCGACGACCAAAAGGGTCGCCCGCGACGGATGACAGAAAGTTGAAAAACCAACACAGCATTCTGCACTGTTTCGGCCATAACTTTTGAACCGTAACTCCGATTCGCGCCCGGTCGGAAGCGTTGGAAAGCTTATTCAATGCTCTATCTAACAATGCTTGAATATCAAAGCTTGGATACCTACAAAAATGAGATAAAATCAATTAAACTCAATAATATTTACATGATAACGCAATAAATACACTATAACGTAAACTATATTAAATGTACGCAAAAGTTGAGGTTTATTGACGAAAAGCAAACGAATTAAGCCGATGAGTGCTAATTATTCACACTCAAATTCACAACAATTTAGCACTCATCAAACTCTCCCCAACTTAAAACATTGTTTGTCCTCAAACAAAGTCAAATAAACTTAAAGAAGCAAAAAACGATAATCAAAGAATCACGAATCAACATGTTTTTAAAATGGAAAACAAATGTATGGTTCAAACAAAAGCGCACACGCAAGGTAAATACTTACCACAATCCTAAAACGACAACATGTAAACGAAACAAATCCTAAGTACAAAAATCATACTAAACATTCTAAAACAAAACAAGCTCAATCATAAATCACACCTAGTAAAAATTCATCGGTAGATCAAGAACACACAATGGTGAGAACTTTTGACACTCATCCACAATCTTGCAAACAATAGACTAAATTATACAATCATCCAAAAACTCATATTGAAAATGTAAAAGTAAGAATCTCAAGTTAACAAACAAGTGATAAGTCTTAAAGTTAATCGAAACAAAAATTTGCCTAAACCTAAGGGAGTAATTACTTCCACAAAGTTTCAAACAAAATAATTCCAATCACAATTCTTCTTCATCACAAGTTTCACACCAACACACATCACTTATTAACACAACATTATTCGAGCTCTTTTTGTTTTTCTTTTTCAAAGCTTTTTCAATTTTTTTCTTCTAATCTTTCTTTTTCACTTTTTTTTCTTTTCTCTTTCTTCTTCTCAACCTCATAGCAACCTCACTATAAATGAGCAAACATTGCTCTCTCCAACTTGAATTCAACCAACATTAATGTGTGAATACTCTAGGCAAGGTAAAAATTCATACAACAACAAATAATTGAGGGTTCAAGAAACAAAAGAATCAGCATCCTTAAAAAAAGGTGAACTAAACACTCATAGACAAGCATCAAGTTCAAATAAACATGGATATTGACAAAAGCTCAAAGGGGCTAACAAATGTTCACACAATCACAAGGTGAATTGAATATTTGGCCAAAGTAGTTATGCTCAAAATCAAATAAAATTCTTTGATCACTTTCATGCATTCATACAATCAACACAAACAAAAGATTAAACATAATAAAATTCAGTTAAAACAAGAATTGTGGCCTCCAACATATATGAACAATGAAAAACTTCCTCACATTTATGGGTAAAAAGGGAACTAAAGTGATTCAAGTCATGAGCAAATAATGCAAAAAGAATGAATGGTATGATAATTATACAAATGAAAAGGTTTCTAAACACGTTATGTTATAGAAAGCGATAGACGAGTAACTGGCGCGTACCAACTTCAAAATAATATCATACCATACATCTGCGAGTGGAAACGATCAAACTCGAAAAATCACCTCAAAATTCTTCAAGTTACCGGAGCAAAATTTGATAACAAACACCAACAAAAGAATTAGAAAAATAATACTCCTACAAAATTTTAATGTACAAAATTTATAATATATACAACGAACAAAACTCCTCAAGCTAAACACAACAAACTTTCGGAAAACACAAATTGACATAACAAAATAAATACAAATAACGATATGAAAATTGGGTGAAAATGAATTAACAAGTTGGAAAGTGAACATTTGAAATTCAGAACATTTCCTTGTTTCAACTTGTTAAAGCACAAATCACCATACACATAAACAAATACAAACAAACATGTTTGTTTTACATCGTAAGCTCGACGCCTTTATTGTGCGAGCTAGTAACCTCCTCTCACCATGCCATGATATTGTCACACCGCGCAAACCTAAAGAAAGTGTCCTAACAATCACACAACAAACATTACGAAAACGAGATAATTCACAACAATACGTGAAAACACATATATGCACAAATATCATATACAAGTTAATGTACAATTTCTATACAACATATACATTAATTACAAAACTCAAAAATAAAAGAATTATCGCAATGCGAAGACAATAGAACCAATCCCCGACAACAGTGCCATTTTGTTGAAGCGGTGTAGCGGCAAGCAACAAAAGTTTTGAAAATATTTATTCGAAAATTTATCGTATCAACAGAGATTGATTATTGAATTGCCGTTCGACAAATCTCTCGTTAATGAGTTTGAGAATAAATGGGTTTGTAAAGAAAATGTTATCAACAGAAAATAAATGTAAACAAAAGTAAAAACTAAGGAAGAACTTATCAAGCCTGCATATAATCTACTCATCACAGACTTAAATCTATCGACCAGTTACATTCAACCTAACAATACTCATCAATGTCCCTACATATCACTAACAACTTAAGTCATTTCTAATCCAAATTGAGAGACCGACTGTATCACCAAGGAAATGATCTCTCTACCTCCTCAACAATACAGAAGACAACTATGTAATCGCACTGACGATCTCTCAGCACAGCACAACCACACAGAGGCATTAAGCTCTGATACCCAAGTAGATGTCAGCTCTAAATCTATCACTAGAGTTCAGAAACTAACAGATAATCATCCTAGATAAAAATCTAAGCAGTATATGTCTATAACAACTCAAATTCCTAGCACAGAGTAAAAATCTAAGACAACAACCCACAAAGATTTGTAAAACAAGTTTAATATAACGCCATTGACGACAAATATGCATAAGTTTTGAGTAAATTCATGTACAAACTCAACACGTAAAGAATACACAAAGAGGAAGAGAAATGAACCACAAATCTCCCAGTTTGTCAGCGCCGATTGATGAGCAATCCACCCCGGATCATCCGTATGCAAGCTTCAATGTTGTTTTCTAAGCTAATCCTATCCAAAAATGAAGGTTGATGGAGTTGGGATAAAAAATACCCAAAACATCAAAAAAATGTGTTTTTACACCTAAATACGCATTTCTGACTGTCCAACATCGCTTGACGACAAAAAAGCGTCGCCCGGCGACAAAAATAGCGTTTTTCCCACGCTACAGCTCGCCTAGCGTTGCCCGACGACCAAAAGCGTCGCCCGGCGATGGATGACAGAAAGTTGAAAAACCAGCACAGCATTTTGCACTGTTTCGGCCATAACTTTTGAACCGTAACTCCAATTCACGCCCGGTCGAAAGCGTTGGAAAGCTTATTCAATGCTCTATCTAACAATGCCTGAATATCAAAGCTCCAATACCTACAAAAATGAGATAAAATCAATTAAACTCAATAATATTTACACGATAACGCAATAAATACACTATAACGTAAACTATATAAAATGTACGCAAAAGTTGAGGTTTATTGACGAAAAGCAAACGAATTAAGCCGATGAGTGCTAATTATTCACACTCAAATTCACAACAATTTAGCACTCATCAATAAACTAACCGAGTATTTCGATTATTAATAGTCCTGTCTATGGAGTTGTGCTTCAAAAAGGCGTGCTTGTTTGGAAATGAATATGATTCTGTACCACATTAGTACCACATTTTGTATGATCCTTGTATATGATATAAACTGCGACATGACAAGTTTCTTTTGCTCCACTACTTAAGGACATGCAATATACCTATATGCATGCATATGCGCGTGCACATGTTAACATACAGTTTGGTACTCACACAAAAACAATAGAGTGATGTTATTTGAACATCAAAAAGTTGACAAAAATATATCATTTATTACTATTGAGTGATTTGAAGAGAGGAAAAAAACCACAATCAAGCCTCATTTTACTATGTGGGGTCAGCTATAGCCTACATGTATCAACTTTCGCCATAATGTCTTTTTTTAATAACTCTTCTTATAGTCTTTCTAGATTTTCCTCTTTCTCTAGTTGTTTGACTTCTCTCCATCTGATCTAATTTTCTTATTATAGAATCTACAAGTCTTCTCTCTACATGTCCAAACCATCTAAGTCTATTTTCTACCATTTTCTCTACTATTGACGTTATTACACCGTATACATATACTGTGTCGGACAGCAAAAATGTAGTCAAAATGACATTTCTCTTAGCAATACCTTGATTAAGTATCAACTAACCCAAACCAGAGATTGAACTGGTAAGACTTCTGGGTCACGGTTCAATTGTTTCAATTCAACCATTAAAAATGAGAATGAATTTTATTTATTTATTTAAAATGAACTGGTTGAACCAAATGCTAGACTGGCAGTTCCCGGTTTTCATAACGCTGCTATTTAAAACAGCAATTCTTGTTTGATTTTTAACAGTCTCTGCCACAAGCCTGTTAAATCCATTTTGTATGTAATAGATTGCACAGTTGCATTCCTACCTAGTACCTATTCATTAAATCTTTCTTCCTTGTCTTAAAACACACGAGGCAAAATAATTTTTTCTGATTTGGTATTATTTCAAAACGTGTATCATATTAGCACAACATTGACATATTGTTTAATGGATCTTTTGGAACTTCATTGCAGTCTCTCTTCTCCAATTTAGATAAGCTTTTCGCTCCAAACCGTCCATGTCATAGTAGCTTATGGTAAGATCTTTGCAACAAAATTGCCTTTATCTTCTGCAGTCAAAATTTCTTTGAAGATCATATCGCTATGTTCTTGGATGGCATGTATTCGAAGACATGAACTGAGACCTGTATGTTTTTGTTTTTAAAAAAATGACTTTTACATTAAAAAAGTCATCTAGTGATTTATTTTTTTGAGAGATTTGTGCACTAGAAGCTAATTTGTATTATGAATTACTACAAGGAAAATCACTTTTTAATATTCTGTCATCTATTGCTTAAAAGTGATTATAATTTTGAGTATGATTGAAGTTCTCCTTTCCTTTCCCAACTCTTGTCAATGGTAAAAGTTTATTTTAAACATTATTTATCTTCTATCCAAATTGTTCTGAATCTTACTGGAACATGATATAATTTATTTTACCATCAAATATATACATTGAAACTTAGAACACACTATAATATTAAACAAGTTGGTTACAATTTGGTAAACAAATGATAGTTCATTACTTAATCTATGCTTACAGGTTTGGGATCCTAGCACTACACAAAGCATTGAGTGATCGACCAAGGGACCCCTTGGTGGTTGCTGCATTTAGCCTTGCCGTCCATAATGGTGGAAATTTGTTGGAAGCAGTGAAGATAGCAGGGATGATCAACAAGCCACATGATATGAGGTTTCCTGAATTATTAGATCCTTCTGGTATGGATGCAGAGGCATTGGTAACTGGGCTTAATGATCTTGCAGAGTCTGTTAGAGGGACACTGCTGCAAATGACTGATGAACATTTTGTATCTCAAGCTATGGCTGACTATCCTCAAGCCCCTCGTTCAGACCTAGTGAGCATCTTTTTCCTTGTTTTGCATGTATATACTTTAAGATTTAAGATGTTATCCTGTACATGGATTGCACGATGATGTTATATACCTGAATTATTATTTAACGTCTGATGAAGTTGAGACTTCTGTTTTCCTCATCTATAGTTAGCCCTCACATTGATATGTAAAACATGTAAAGAGTGTCAAAATCACCATTGGTATGATTCGCAGGGAAAGAGCATTCACACTTACATTATTTGTCATGTCTTCTTTTAACAAAGTGTAATAACCTTGATAATGCATGAGTATTTTCTTGATTTATGTTCTTAATCTTTATGTCAATTTGACAGGTGTTCATTCCATTAGGATTGTACGTAAAAGCATTCAGCATTTTCGAATGTGTGAAAAGGAGTGCTGGTAAGAAATCCCTGTCAAAGCAAGGCATGAAAATTGATTATGAAGCCTTAGCTATTGGTAATATACAAGAAATAAGACACGTTTTTGCAAGAATTGTATTTGATACTGTGTTCCCGCTTCACCAAGTTCAGGACCAGGCTTTAATGAGTAGCCGGATTTCACAGGGAGGCTAGTTTGAAGGTTTTTTAGAAAATCATGAGAAATGTTTCATGAAATAAGCATTATGTCAAAAGGAAGTCTGATCATAATCCAAGTATATTGGTGGAAGGTCTAATTCCAGCTGAGGTACTTGCGGGAATTATCGTCCATTTATTTTTCCGTCGTCACTTGGAGTCAATTTACCCTGCTCTTGTATCCAATGCATTTAACTCTAAAGCTACATAGCCAAATGGATAACGGGAGAAGATCATATTATTGAAAAAAAGAACTGCTTCCCATCCTTAAAACCTTCGTTCTTCAGTTTTGCTTTGTAATGTTATATCTCATTATCATTTTAGAGGAAGAATAGGTTTGTTGCAGAGCTGTTTGGCCGTTTGGCCCCCAAAGATAGTTATTTCTTGAATCTATTAATGTCTGGAGCAATATTCTTTATCTAGTGGGAATTTGTTTTTGGTAAAGAATTTTGTAAGTCGCTGATATGGTGACACACCATACTAAAAAAGATACAGATCCTTTGCAGCTTTATGTCTCCTGCTTCCATGCTGCTGAAATCTCAACCTTTCATCTATCTTTTCTTTTTTCTCTTTAAAACTCAATTTTTTTATTTACATGTTTTTTATAATTTCTTGTCCATTAGATCATGAGCATGAGAGATAGCTAAAAACAGAAAATTTTATTTCGTATTTCCACAATTATACTCATACCCTTACATGAAAATTTCTGACCGAAATATCCTTGTACAAATAATTCATATTTTAAATTTTTTTATTTTTTCATCACATTTCAGAAAAGCTTTCGGAACAATTAAAATATATTCTCAAGGTCATTTGATTTAAAAAAATACATACGGAAAGTGTTCTAGTTAGATATCTTTCAAAAAAAAAAAGTCATACCATAACACTTTTTAAAAATGTTCCAGTTGAATATGTTATAAAAAACAAATTTATTAAAAAACAAATTTATTTATAAAAGTGTTCTGGATAGAAATTATTTTTTGCTAAATTAGTTTCGGCAACAGTTTAAACTGCGGCCTAAAGTTAATAGAGAACGTTTCAAACCATTGTTGAAACTAATTAAGCAAAATTTTAAACCGGATTTTCGGTGTATTACACACAACCGGAACAGTTTCTATAATGTTTCAATATGATAATTATTTTTAGAAAAAAACAAGTTTCGTTGCTCTAGGCTACGGTTTGAACCGTTGCTGGAACCTCTAGCAATTTTATTATCCAGAATACTTTAAAAAATGTTCTGTTCTGGTATCTTAATAATACATTCAATGGAATAATTTCAATAAGTGTTTCGGTATGATAATTTTTAAAAGAATGTTATTTTAGATCACAATTTTTAACCGTTGTTAAAATTCATTTAACAATTTTTTTTAATCGGAATATTTTTAAAAAGTGTTTCGATTTGTTATAATACATATCGAAAGAGTTTTTTTAAGTGTTCCAAAACACAGATGTAGAGGTGTAAAATTCAATTTTTTTAATAAATAATAAAAAATAAAATGATAAATTAATTAAAAATATTGAAGAGTAAAACTGATATTTTTGAAAAACGTAGGGATACAAACTAAAATTTTCTTTAAAACACAGGCAACATAGGCAGGAGAGGATTTTTCCCCCTAAAAAAGAGACCCACAGTCCAAAAGTGACACTGTTGGGGGAAGTATTGATGCCATTCTGAAGAGAAAGTAGAAAGCACGAAACTTAAAATATTAAGTAGCTAAATATTTGTATGCTTAAATATATTAACAATTATTTTTAGTCCTTGCAATTAACCATAGTGTTTAATAGAAGTTCTTGTGACAAGTACGTTAGTTAGCTTTTTTATAGTGTAACACTGATTTTAAAATATGATTAGTTTGATAATTTAACTTTTTAATACTATTTTCCGCACAAATCTATTTAGTACTATGAATTTTGTTATGTTGGGAAATTAATTCAGTGATTTAAATGTAAAGTGTGATAGGAAAATATCTTTATGGGGCTGCTGCAAAAGTGAGAATGAATGAAGATGAAAAATAGAGAAATAAATTTGTTTGAGAAAATTTCAAAGCGTATGTTTTCACACTAAGTTTAAGGAACAATTCGCCCATACCAATCTTTCTATTTTAATAGTATTTTACAGAAGAATAATTCTTTTTCTTGCTCTCATACATTAGAGAAGAGAAAGATGATTTAGTATGAGAAAATGATTTGAGACTGATTATTCTTTATTGTGCCAATAAACATTCAATTTATAGTGAGACTACAATCTGTTTGGGAACAGATGCTTCTCCATGAAAGAGAATTGCACCTTTTGATAACAACGTATCAATAACAACGTTTTGCATAGAAATAGCAATGGTTTGCTTATAAATTGCAACTGTTCCTAATTAATAGGTAACCATTGACACGACACATTATACCAACAATCATTTAATTTAAATAACCATGAATCTATATGCTTTGCTATTTTCAGCATAGCCCAGAAATACACATTCAATTCCTCTTTCTCCCAATTTCTTTCTTTTTGGTTCAGGCACCTTTACAATTGCTCTACAACCCCAAACTTTTAAATATTTGAGATTCAGTTTTCTTTTCTTCCAGAGTTCATATGGGGTTATCTTGTTCCTTTTATTAGGAACTCTATTAAATATATAACATGCAGTTAGCATGGCTTCATCCCAATAACCTTTAGATAAACCAAAATAGGATAACATGGCCTTTACCATTTCTTCTAACACCCTATTTTTCCTTTCTGCTATTCCATTGTGTTGTGGGGAATATGGTGCAGTTATTTGATGTATAATACCAGTGAACTCAAAATAATTAGGATGATAGAACTCTCCTCCTCTATCACTCCTAAAACATTTAATAAAAGTTTCATGTTGAAGTTCTACTTGTGCTTTAAAAATTTTGAATTTGTCTAAGACTTCATCCTTAGAGTGCATTAAATAAACATAACAAAATCTAGTGCAATCATCAATGAAAGTGACAAAGTATTTCTTACCACCAATTGTGGGCCAACCATGTAAATCACATACATCAGAATGAATTAAATCTAATACTTTAGAACTTCTTTCAATTGATTTAAAAGGTTGTCTTGTGATTTTAGTTAACATGCAAGTAGTACATGAATTTGAATTTTTGTCAAATGTTGAAATTAAATTTAATTTTATCATATCATTTAATTTTCTAAAATTAACATGTCCTAGTCGCATATGCCACAAATCACAAGATTCAACAGTATAAGCAGAAATCACATTATTATTAGTATTATTAACAATATTACACATGAACATATTCTCACAAAGATAACCTTTCCCCACAAACATTCCCCCTTTGGAGAGAATAAATTTATCTCCCTCAAATACAGATTTGAAACCATACTTATTAAGTAAAGGTACATAAATCAAGTTTTTCCTAACTTCAGGGACATAAAATACATCTTTAAGAGTGAGTATTTTTCCAGATGTGAATTCAATCTCTACCGATCCTTTTCCTTTGACTTGGACAGTAGAAGTATTTCCCATGTACAAAATACTACCATCTTCTTCATTAATGGTCTTGAATAGTTCTTTATTTTTGCATACATGACGGGTAGCACCAGAGTCTATCCACCAAGAATTAACATCTTCTATCATGTTGATTTCAGAAATGACAGCAACAAGATTGTCTTTTGTTGCTTTTGAATTCTTTTCTTTGTTTTCTCTTTTCAAGAATCTACACTCACTTTTAAAGTGTCCTGGTTTTCCACAATGATAACAACTTCCTTTATTTTTCTTTCTATAGTTTTTATTGTCTTTACCATTATGATTTTCATGAGATTTTCCAAAATCTCGTTTCTTTTTCATGGAAGTTTTACTTGAATTCCCTTCCTCCATCACATGGACCTTTTCTTGAGTAAATTGGCTTTTAGTATCATCTTGTTTTCGATACTCTTCTTCTAAACGGAGGTGATTACCTAATTGTTCAAGAGAAATGTCATCCTTCTTATGCTTCATGGTTCTTTTAAAATCTTTCCAAGAAGGAGGAAGCTTATCTATTATGGAGGACACAATTATAGTTTCATCCATGTGCATATTGTGTTGTTTGTAATTATTGAGAATACGTTCAATTTCGTGCATTTGTTCCATAACAGACCTACCATCTATCATTTTATAATTATTAATTTGAGAGACAAGAAACTTCTTACTTGTAGCGTCTTCTTGCATGTATCTTGATTCCAATTTCTCCCATAATTCTTTTGCGGAGTTACTGCTCTGATAAATGTCGAACAACGAATCACACATGCCGTTGAGGATGTGTCCCATGCATATATAATCATCATTGTCCCACTTTTGTCTCTCTCTAGTTTCAGCAACAATTTCTTTTTCTTTTTCTTCCGGTTTTGGAATGTTAAGGACATACACCACTTTCAATGTTGTGAGAAGGAATTTCATTTTTTTCTGCCAACGAATAAAATTGCCTCCATCGAATTTCTCTAATTTTACAAAGTCAGAAGTCATCTCTTTGAGTGAGGCAACCATTGAATAAAAGTTTGTTCCTTAAGATTGTTAGGAAAATATCTTTATGGGGCTGCTTCAAAAGTGAGAATGAATGAAGATGAAAAATAGAGAAATAAATTTGCTTGAGAAAATTCCAAAGCGTATGTTTCCACACTAAGCTTAAGGAACAATTCGCCCTCACCAATCTTTCTATGTTGGATGTAAAAGGGTTTACCAGAAAATTTCCTGTAGGATACTTTGGAATCCTTAAAGAGAATTGCACAATCTCTCTAAGCGTATCTTTAATAGTATTTTACAGAAGAATAATTCTTTTTCTTGCTCTCATGCATTAGAGAAGAGAAAGATGATTTAGTATGAGAAAATGATTTGAGACTGATTATTCTTCTGTGCCAATAAACATTCAATTTATAGTGAGACTACAATCTGTTTGGGAACAAATGCTTCTCCATGAAAGGGAATTGCACCTTTTGATAACAACGTATCAATAACAACGTTTTGCATAGAAATAGCAATGGTTTG